AATCACGTTCGGACTGCCCCGCGGACCAATACATGTCGAGGTTGGATGACTTCTATGGTCCAGATGGTTACGGGGGGTTTACGGATCCGCCTTGGAATTGCCCTTAGTAGGGCTCCCATGCATATAGGGGAACCGGATCAATCAAGCCATGATCACTGGTAAAAGATCTTTAGTAACATTGGCACACGCTTGCAGATTAAGAAGGAAACATATGTTGTTTGAAACATACGTGAGTGAGAAAATAAGAAGGGAACATTTCTTGCTAGAACTTTTGGGAAATACTAGTCAGACTAAAATAGAAGAAATGATGTTCTACCATAAATGATATATCCGGAGCTGCATTCATCGTCTGTGCTTTGAGATTTGTGCTACCTTTTTTTTGTTGTCGTTCTCATAATTTGTCTTGATTTAAAGTGTTACATTGGTTTTTTCCTATCGTTTCAAAATTATTCATTGTCTATCATCGTGTATCAACATATCCGATCTAAAACAAGTGCATTATTTTTTGTTGATACACAATGAAACATTGTGATGCACTTTGAAACACGAAGAAAACCGAGTGAAACATTACGAAATAGGATAAATTATGACAACAACCAAAAAAGTTGCATCGACTTTAAATCAACCATGGAAAGTAGATCCATGCACGGGATATCCGTGCATGATAGAAAATTCACGCTTGCTAAAAAAGTTGCTTTAGTGAAATTTTAGTGTGATGACCAATGGATCAATCCACCACCCCCGTGACGAGGGCTCTACCCATCTCATTGGCTCACAACTCACAGGCTTACTGCCCATGGAGGCTAGCACAACTGAGCCCTCGCAATGGACCGAGCCATTGCAGCACCTACACCCATGATCCGTTGGAAGTGACCCTCTACTCTGGCATGGCAGTGTTGCTTTATCCCTTCCATATCTACTCCTCCTCCATTGTCTCTCCGGAGTTGTTGCTTCTCCCACGCCGCTTGGCAACAGTGGTGTAGGAACCGAGTAAGTGTGGTGTAATTTATGGCATGTGAAAAATCTCACTACAATCCAACCAAAATTGACCTTAGAAAATGTACATTTCCACTAACTCCAACATAGATAGTATAATAGGCAATGAAAAAGACAAATGACATGAAAAAACACATTGTTTCTAAATACCATCATGACATATTTTGATATGTCATTAATATGATAATGACAATTTGACACCATGAATTGATGTAACATGCACTTGGGGCATCAATCTACATCGATATAAAATGTAGCACATACATAATAAAAAATGATAAATAACACATGAAACTTACGAATGCAAATTTGATCATGGCAGCCGAAGAGGGAATGGAAAGTAGAATATTACAAACCTCTATTGATCAAGGATCGTGATGGGAGGCGGGAGCAACTATCACCGAGTAGGAGTTGATGGTTGAAGCAGAGGGTAGATTAATAGGTACTGCAGGGACAGGTGGATCACTGTAACACCCCCTGTGTCATCCTACAGTAACCCTCTATCATTAAGCTAATTATTTTTCCAAACAATGCTTAATCACCTTTGTTCAATATCCCATTCAAAATTCCAGTCAAATTCAAATTCAAATTCTAAGTGAATTTCAAATTTTCTCAAACATGTAAACTAAAATGTTCATCGTGTGCGAAATAATCCTTTGTTAATATTGGTGGTGAACCAACATTCTTTTGCAAATGTCTAAATGCCCTAAACCACTTTAAAACAGTGGCTAAAGCAAATAAATTAAATGTTTGTTAAGTTATAAAAATAATATACTACTTTGTTTTGGTGTCAAGTTAATTATAGCAGTGGCCTAAGTTAAAATGGTATTTTAGGTGCAAGATTGGTTTTTATAAAACTATTTTGCTTTCTGAAGTTAAAAAGAAAAATAGAAAAGTTAAAAAGAAGACCAAAAGAAAAGAGAGAGAGAGACAGCAACCCCATGGACCTAACCCACCTGGGCCGGCCCACCTAACCCACCCGAGCCAGCCCAGATCCCCCCTGCCCGTCCCATTCCCTGTCCCCCCGACCGGGGTCGTTATAGGGGCGTAGCCCCGCCGAACCCACTCGTCGTCGTCGGTGAGGGGATAAGGCCGCCACGCGCGCGCCTCCATCCCTCCCCCACACCACGCCCCTCTCCCTCTCCGCCTCTCCTCTCAGATCCCCTTTCCCCCACGCGTTGTTGCTTCTCCTCTCCGCCATGGTCGCCACTGTCGTCGCCTCCGCTTGCTCGTCCAGGTAGCCACCGGCCCCTCCTCGACGAGCCACCGTGTTTAGACGCACCGTAGACGTCCACTACTGCGTCCCCGACCACCCGCTCGAGCCGAAGCCGCTATAGCACCGCCCCGACCAAGTCATCGTCCTCGGCTCTGACGAGCACCGTCGCCTCGTTTCGCCGCTTCTGCTGCTCCTAAGCGTTCACGGGGGCACCGTGTGCCCGCTAGGTGAGCCTCCGCATCGCTCCCTCCCTCTCTTTCATGCTCTAGCACGCTCCGTCGCCGTCC